TGTAAGCATAAAATTTTCATGATATGTTGGATAGTAGTGAGTTATTTTAAATATATAAATAGTTGTCATGTTTTACTTTTTAAGAGTCAAATTATATGAACTTTAGCCAATTTTTAAGATATATTTTATTACCATATTGATATGAGGTGAATTTAGAGTAGTTTAGTGTAATTTATAACTATCTATATGGTATTTTAAGTACTCATTTAAATTAATTAAATTTAGCTTTAAAAATTAATCAAATTGGAGAAAGACAATGAAAATTAATGTACGATCATGGTATCTTTTGTACCACATTGAAAAAAGACACCAAATATTTAGCGTTTATAATGCTATGACTTAGAGTATTGGTAGAACGAAACTTCAAGGAGCAACTATAAATGAGTGGACATGGAATCTCATGGTAGGAGATAATAATTAATATTGTTTAAAGAAATTTATTTGAATATCTTCTTGCGGTTGTACTTGCGAATAAATTGGTAAGAATTTTTTTTTAAAATAAATAATTTTACTAAAAACTTCTGAGATATTTTAAATATTTTTTGCAAGAAAATTTGCAAGTAATGTACCTGCATAATTTAAATCCCTAAGTAAATTAGTTGAGGATTGTGAAATTCACAGGAAATAATTACCTATGAAGATTTTACTTTTGAATTCTTTTTTTATAGGAAAAGCCGAAGGAAACTTATTTTCCTATGAATTTTTATACATAATCCCATGTAATTCACATTTTTCTTGTAATGATTATGTCTTTGTTATTTTGTAGAAAGGAGATATCTATACTCTGTAGAAACAAGGCAAAGAAAGTCTACCTATACAACGAAGGTCCCAACAAGCTTCAAAGTTTACATTACACAACTCATAAAAAGTAACAAACAATCTTAATTGATTGACAAACTTATTGTAAAAACATTAGCCATTGAATATTCATTTTGGATATATCACATTTTCTAACAAAAATTTTATCGTGATTTTAAGATTTCGTTGTTCAACTCTCTTAAAAGATTTGACTTCCCTGTATGTAGAGATAAGTCAATTTGACAAACACTTGAAGGGATATATGTAATTTCCTTCTATATATGCCGTTGCCTTAACTATATTGTAGTTAAATATGATGTAATTAGCTAATTTCTGTAATTGTCATATATAGTTAGATATGCTAAGTCGTTGATTGTAATTCGTATACATGTCTGATTATTCAAGAAACTCACTACTTTTTATTGGTTTGTTAGTAGTAATCTAACTACATTGTGGTTTTCAGATCTTAAAAAGGAGCAATAAAGAAGTAAGAGAATAAAAATGAACATGCTGAAGAGAGATCAGTAGGAACATAGAAGAAAATGACTAGTTATTTTTTATTTATTTTTGCAGCCCATTTAATGATCCAAGAATAATGTAACTCTTCATATTTTAGGAGATATACTTGTTTGAAGTTGGACCTTAATCAAACTCATATATATGAAAAACTTTTCTACCTGATTTGTGCTAGAGTTCGGTTAGCACCTTAATTCACATCTGACACACTTTTCATACTTAAGACTTGACCTTTTAACTACGATCAAATTGATCGGGTTCGAGTCTAACTCAATGATTAAAAATTTACTTTGATCACTTAAATTTTAGTCGTTAAATTTAACTTATGTCATATGTCAATAATCTAACAAGAACATGAAAAATGGAGAAAAGAAAACTTTGGTTCAATAGAGAACTCTTAGATACAAGGTTACACCACAGTGGTTGTACCCCCAAACAAGGTGCGGTATAGAGGTGTGAGAAAGAAAGAGGTCATGGGGGACGTACAGAACTGAGATTTACAAACCACATCCAGAAGGTCCTTGTCTGGCTTGGTACTTTCAAAACAGTAGAAGAAGCTACAATGGCCTATGATACAGCAACAAGGATGTATCGCAGCTCTAAAGCCAAACTTAATCCCCCCTCCCCCCAACAAATGAGGATAACCTCGAAAATGTTAATAGTTTAAAAACTTAATAATGTCTTCTTTGATGTATCTTTTTTTGTCTTTTGTTTTTCTATATAGAATTATATTTCGGTGAATTTTTATGGTTCAACTTTTGGAGATTGTAATTCATCTTTCAATTTCATCTTAAAGTAGCAAGCTCTTATTTATTTTTGTTGAATTTTAGATTTTATAAAAGAATTATTAGTACATTGATATGGGAATAGTCATATAGTTAACTAGACGATAAAGAACTTGATTATTATAAAATGAATTTTTGCATATAGTCACTTAAAAATAGCTTTATTTTGCTCAATAACTATAGTTTGCTAATTACGATCCGTAGCTACATGTTAGGGGAGAAGAGAGGTGAGCGAGAATGGGAGAGGGAGCAGAGAGGCAAGTGAGATTTGGAGAGGGAGGAGAGAGGCGAGCGAGAAGGGACAATAATTTGTATAATTCGCACAGACCTACAACGAACACAAAGGAAAGGTCCCCTTCAGGATCATTTGAATAGTGTGAAGATATAGACGAAGCAGCTAAAGCCAAATCAGAATATTCCACTGAAGCAGAAATGATAGGATCGTAAGAATAAAAAGTCTATACGCCTATCCGTATTATGTAGAATAGCTCGTCCCTTGAGCGTTAGCCCTAATACAAATTTCGGAATTATACAAATATGATAAAACTTGAAATAACAAATTTATACAAACACAAACATCTGAACATTGAACAGTTATAAAAATTATATTATACAAATTATATTCTACAAAATACGAAAACTACACGTTTATACAAACTTTAAAAAGTTATACAAAAAGCATTTAATGTTATTTGGTAATAAAACTGAAAAACCAAAGGAAATCATTGTCATATACAAATACAAACCATCATATACAAATCAAACGAAGAATTATTAGTTGTGAATTATACAAATGTGACGAATTATACTAACACGTCGAATTATACAAACTCGAAGTCCTCCCACGTAATTAACGCTTAGTGTTAGTCACGAGTGATAATTATAGAAAACTATAGCTATGATGAATAATTAAGGGAAAAGGGTTTGAAAAATATTCCAACTTTGGCCGAAATTGTTGTTACAATACTAAGCTTTATGGAGGACCTTTTACCCCCTGCACTATTTAATAGTGTATTTTAAAAGTACATAAGTGCCCGCGTGGACACTTTACTATTTATAATGATGCAATTTTTTCTGATATCCACGTGGACACATATATACCTTTAAAATACACTATTAAATAGTGCATGGGGTAAAAGGTTCTCCATAAAGTTTGGTATCATAACAATAATTTCGGTCAAAGTTCGAATATATATTCAGACATTTTTCCCAATAATTAAATAGTATAATTTGCTTAACCACATAATTTTTCCTTATTATAATAAGCTGATATAAATTATTAGTTGCGCCTTGTTAGATTTTAATTTTTTTTTACAAATAATGCAATAGCCAACAAATATTGATTTTTCAAAATAAAAATTTTGGGGTTAAATAAAATAAGACGCCTTAAAAGTTTACAACATGTTAATAGAAAGGAAATTCACTACTTATAAATTATACTAGATGTTGTGTACCCGTGCAAGGCACGGGCCAGTGTCCTACTTCATTTAGCCGTTAGAATTTCTCATGAAGATTCTTCTTCAAAAAGATCACTTAGGAAATAAAGTGACAAATCAAATGAACCATGCATACGATCAGTTGACATAATGTATCTAGCTAAGAAGAAAACACGGACACTTTACAACATAACTAAGAGTTTGAGACACTGAGAAGTCCAAGTACAAAATTAAATCTAAGTGTCTTATAGATTTAACATTTCCAGTTCATTTAATACAAACTTGCTTCTAAAATATTTCTTTTTCTAGGCAAGCAGCAAGGTGTTTTCACTTGACAGAGAAGCATATCCCTCTTTAAATGGCCTTCTTGGAGCAACACTTCATAGCGTAACTCCAAACCATAATTTTTGCAAAAAGGGATTCAAGATTTGCATTTGACAGCATTCCGGTTATACTATCCAAGACCGCCACATTCCAAATGTTCATATTAACTATCAATCTTCTAGAAAGATTTTCACTCAAGATGTTGAGGTCTTAGACCCTTCTTTGTATCAGCTATTTTTCAGCACTTATGTTTCATGGCCTACTTTCTTCTGCAGTACAATGTTGATAATCGCCTGGAGAACAGTCCATGGCGTGGAGAATTTGTTTGATTCTCCATACTTCAAACTCCGATCAAAAAGACGGGAGATAATTAATTGTCCACTCCCCTTGGCCAAATTCCAATTAAACCTAAGTTTATCCGAATAATCAAACCTCAACTATTTTATACAAAACAATAACACTAAAGGACAGCACTAATACCTAACTTAGCACTTGTAAACCTCAATTATATAAAGGAATCAATCATCATCCAGAGACGTAAGATAAAATGAGGGCTATCCTAAAGTAAAGACATATAAAAGCTACTAAACAAATAATTTGAAGGCAAATTGGTCAATAAAGTAAACTAAACAGCTAAAGCAAAAGAAAGTTATCTACTTATGAGTAAATGGAAAAAATATGCAGAATAAACTTATATACTCAGTCAGTCTAAAGCCTCTATAATCTATTCATACATGAATAAAAATGTATAATCCTCATAACATGATAGAAAACAAAAAGTAAAAGGTATTGCACCAGTCTGAAACGAAGGAGAAATTTTCACAGGTAATTACTTGTGTGTAGTTTGAAAATTGATTAGCTTGGTCTTAAAATCTAATACATCTGAAAATTAAAACAAAACAATGACAACAGATTGAGCACCCAGTTATTTTGATCTTTGACATGCTTGTTGATTATTATTTATAATTAGAGGACGTTGATTGTGCAAACATCAGGAAATATGGGGATCAGTATAGCATTTATGGTAGCAATGAAAGGCTACAAAATGGTTTTGAAAATGCCTTCATACACGAGCATGGAGAGGAGAGGGAAAATGAGAGCATTTAGAGCCGATTTAATCCTCATCAATCCAACCTAAGGAATGAGAGGCACTGTTAAGAAGGCTTATGAACTTTTGGAATCTACACCTAATGCTTTCATGCTTCAACAATTTTACAACCCTGCAAACACTCAGGTAATTTTATGAAACTTAAGTTAATTAATAAATTCTCTGTTTTAGTACAGAATTCTCAATTGTTTCATATCGAAAGCAGGATCATTTTGACACAACAAGCCTTGAAATATGGGAAGAAACTCTAGGTAATGTTGACATATTTTTCATGGGAATACTGGTGTTGGACAATATCTTAAATACAAAAATCCTAATGTCAAGTTAAATTCTAATGTTGTACTCTTGATTCCTCGAGACAGAATCGGTAAACGTCCAAGATAATCCCATGTCAAGAAATCGAGAACAATCCTATGTCAAAAATAGTTAACGTTGTGCTTATATGATCTCGAGGAAACTGAAAGTAATATATTGAATAATGGAAAACCAGGTCCTCATCAGATAACGGGAAATGGGGTTGGATTCAAGCCAGATATCCTTGACATGGATCTAATGGTGGAACATCGACACTAGAAAAGTAGTGAAGGATTTCCTTGCCAAATATAACCAAAGTTACACAATCCCTTGGAAACGAAGTTTGTGATCAACTAAGATATAATAGAGCTAATAAGTGAATTTCCTATAAAAGAATTAAGGATTACCTCAACTAACAACAACGTATCAAGTGTAATTCCACAAGTGGGGTCCAGAGAATTATCTCAAGCGAAATGATATTTCTTCCTGGGAAAAACTTCCAGTTAAGGAATCAGCAAATACCAGAAGTTGATACATACCAACAGCTAGGCAAAGATCTTTTGCCTCAGACAGGACTAATTCTGTAATTAGTTTGTACCAAAAGATAATACTAAGAAAACATCATTAGGATTTTTCCATCAGCGATTTTCTAAAGAAAAATACATGAGAAAGTTAATCAGAAGAGTCACCAAACAATAATCATCCAAATCAATAGTTGGAGTATCAATTTATAGATATCTATGTGAAGGTCACATAAACGTACTCAGGTAAGAATCCATGAAAATTTTACCCACAAACAAGTGCAATAAGAGAAATTAATAGGAGAAAACAATTATCGCGAAAGAATATACAAAAAAACGGATACCTGATTACAATTGCAGATGCAGCACACACTTTTCAATAGCTGTGAAATACCTAAAATACCCTAGACAACCAAAGTGACATTGACCGAAATGCCCTTGGGCGTCCGAAGAATCCCACACCTATTTAGAATGAAATATGTATAATTAAAGTATTCTTAGTTGAGTCAGATGTCTATTAACTGTAATCTCTTCATCTCTCCTTTATGTTCCACCACATCTATATATGTAATATTTTAAAATTTTGAATTAAACTACTAACATCTTCATATTAGTAAAATGAAATTTATACAACATTATCATTGGTACTAATTATAAGCATGTTTGTAGAGCAAATCGAACATCATAGTTTTAGGAAATTTACGTGTTGATATAAGAAAATTTACGTGTTGATATGGGTTGATTAGCGGTTATTATATTCGTAAAGGAAAAAGTTGTTTAATTACACTGTGCATACACATTTAATATATAGATTGTTTCATCTATTTTTCTTGTTGATTTTCTATGCCTAAACAATTTAGAACTGGTTTGTCAATTAATTATAAAAATAATAATTTTGCAACTCAAGCAAATAAGTAAGAAAGAAGATGGCACCATCTAGCAAACCAGACGGAATGGAAATAAATCCCCAAGATGGAATTAGGAAATGCATAATACATAGTCTATTTGTGCATAGTCGAAATATTCTATTATTAAAAAATATTACTAGTATTTGACAAAACCTGTTTTTCCTTTTTTTTTTTTTTTTTTTTTTTTACAAAAGCTTATTTAGTTTTAACCTATGAAATACAAAATGCAAACGAAATTCAACATTTGTAAATGGATTGGTGTTTCCCCAAAATACTCTTTAAAACTTTTTTTTGATCTCCTTATTTTATTTGCTTGAGTAAACATTTAAAAAAATACGAAGGAAAAAATTATATATATTTTTCCTTTATTTGATGAAGGTGGGTGGGGCATGGTCCATTAGGAAAATAGAATAAGATACTGAATAAAAAATGCAATTTTATAATGTCAAAGTCATGTATTAAGAGATAAAAATTACATGTGAATATATCATTCACACCTATCAGAATAAAACATAAAAAAATTATTTAACTAAGAGTGTATTTTGTTCAAAGGGATGAATTTTTTTGTTTGCTTTAGAAAAAAAAGTTAATTTAAATATTTATAGGTCGCCTAACGAATAATAAATTTGGAATGCGATTTATTATTTCTACTATTTTGTTTAGAAGAGTCAATTATTTTCATTTTCAAGCAACTTGTATGTTTAATGTATTTTACTAAAACAAGTCAAATGTCATGTAAATTCATTACTAGACCAAATGTATCCCTTGAGAAACAACTATATAAATCAATCTTCATCATCCTTTTCACTCACTCAATCTTTTATGTATACAAAATATTTCTTCTATGGTTTCAGATTAAATTCCTAATATATTTTCAGATGGCAAAGAGAGAAAATTGCATTGTAGCTATAGTGACGGTGGTTATAACACCAACTGAGGTTCGATATAGGGGTGTGAGGAAGAGGCCATGAAGGAAGTACGAAGCTGATATTATAAACTAGAGAGTATGTGTCTAGCTTGGAACCTTTGATACACAAGAAGAAGCCGCAAAGGCTTATGATAAGGCAACTAGAATGTATTGCCGCGCTAAAACCAAACTTAATTTCCCGATGTCAAATGAGGATAACCTAGAAAATGACCCTGTAGCTACAGTGACAGTGGTTGTAACCCCAATTGAGGTTCGATATAAGGGTGTTAGGGAGAGGCCACGGGGGAAATACGGAGATGATATTACAAACCCCATCCAGAAGGTACGTGTCTGGCTTGTGACATATGCCATGAAAGAAGAAGCAACAAACACATTTGAAAAGGCAGCGAGGATGTATTACTATCCTAAAGCTAAACTTAATTTTCCGACATCAAATGAGGATAACCTAGAAAATCCTAATATAAATAATAAGAATCTCCATCATGAGCTCAATCTTGAACTCATACTTGCACCGCCAGGGAGCAAGTGAAATTATCCGCATTTGTTATCAAGTATCGCATGCATTACATTTATTAAAAGAAATAGTTTAATTTCCCATTTTGATTTTTTGTAAGAAAAAACAAGGAGTAATACATAAATCTTTTCTTATTTCTCATATATCTCCTGATGATAGAAGTAATGTTGTATTAATTTAGAAATTTAATTATGTCTTTCTTCGTTGTATTATTTTTCTATTTTTTATAAGAATCTCAATTGGATAATTTTTATCTAGTCACATTGTTCGATCGGGGAGCCAAAAGATGAGGGTGTCATGTGTAATTAGTTTTCCTTAGTTGTGTATTGATCAGGTAAATCAAAGGTAGGATATAATCCCTTGAACATAAGACTAGTTGGTTCAGTGGTTTAGTATATTCAAAATCTACCTTAATGTTTCAAATTTAACGTGATTCAGTCACCTTGACCTACATCTATAACTAAAATTGGAGCATATCAACTGACACTGACAAATACAAAGAAAGTACCACACACAAAAAAAAAGTACAAAATTAGATTAATTAAATACTCTATATCAAATTTAAATAAGTCCAATTTTTCAAAAAATTTATATCAATATCATTTATTTCTTTTTGAAAAAGGACCCACGATCCTAGGTATTTAAAATTCAATAAATATTAAAGAGAATATTTATTGAATTTTAAGTTGTAACTAAACTAATAAATTTCCCTTTTTAGTGATTCACTTACCTTTAAGTATTGTTGACTGATTATGAACTTATGATTAATGAAAATATTCTTTTTGATAAGTAAACTTAGTGGACCTTAAGAGAATTTTCCTAGTCAAAATTTATGTAATCTTAGTTTTTAGCAAACTAGTAAAAGTATTGAATATATATTGTTAGTCAATAATCCAATAATTATTTTTTTCAAATGTATTTAATAATTAGTTGACCAAATTAAATGTATCCCTTTGAGAAACGGCAATATAAATCACTCTTTCTCTTCTTTTTCTCACTCACTGAGTCTTCTCTTAATACAAATTAATATAGCGTGGCCACCACCACAACGTCCACCATCGCCGCCCTCACCTCCACTTTAGGTACACTCCCTAGCAAAGTGGCCAAACTCGCCACACTAAAAACACACACTTCTTCCTCCACCACCTCTTCCGCCATCATAACCGCCGCCTCCACCGTATCCACCTCCATAGCCACTGTCTATATCATCGTATCCACGGATACCACCTCAGCCACCACCGTAGCCACCATCTTGGCCACCTCCGCCACCAGATCCTCAAGAGACCGGTGCTCTATTAGGCCCAGTAACAACAACAACCTTGGTACAACCATCATTCCCGGAGTCAATCTCGTACTCGACAGCCTCACCATCAGTTAGGCTATGAAAACATTCAGATCTATTCCTGATTGATGAACAAAGAGATCATTAGAGCAATCGTTAACGATTCAATGATGATGGCTCTAACAATCTCGTTGTTCATCAATCCGAAATCAGATCTGGAAGTTTTCATAGCCTGACTGATGGTGAGGCTGTCAAATACGAGATTGAATCCAACATTGATAGTCTTACCAAGGTTGTTGATGTCACTGGGCCTGATGGAGCACTTGTATGTTGAGGATCTGGTGACCGCGGTGGTGGAGGTGGTCGAGATGGTGGTTATGGTGGCCAAGGTGATAGCCAAGGATACAGTGGTGGAGACAGTGGCTATCAGGGGCGGCTCTAAGGCATGGCCAGTGAGGCTATTGCCTTAGGCCTCAAAAATTTGAAGGCCCCAAATTATTTAAATTATTGTTATTGATTTTATTATATATTAATATAATTTATATAAATAAAAATTTTATGGTATATTTTTTATTATTATTTCTTTGAGAGTATTTTTTACCAATAAATTCATAAAATCTCATAATCTTTTCACCTCATTATTTGATATCTTTGTTTTAACTTCCGATTTTAAATTTTATCCTTTTTATATAGGAACTAAGTTATATATGTGATAACATAATGAATTTTTTTTTCAATCTTTTCTTAAACTGCGTGAACACAAAAACATTCATGCACAAGTTTCCTTTTCATTTTAATTTAATATATTATATGAAAGTTTTATAATTTATTTTAGATATTCACCAATAAGTGCTACTTAATGGAATGAATTATATCATTTAAATTGATCAGAAACTTGATAAGGAGGTGTATATATTTTTGTTATTACTATCGATACTCAAAACCTTAATAATTAACTTTAATTTAATATATTATATGAAAGTTTTATAATTTATTTTAGATATTCACCAATAAGTGCTACTTAATGGAATGAATTATATCATTTAAATTGATCAGAAACTTGATAAGGAGGTGTATATATTTTTGTTATTACTATCGATACTCAAAACCTTAATAATTAACTTTAATTTAATATATTATATGAAAGTTTTATAATTTATTTTAGATATTCACCAATAAGTGCTACTTAATGGAATGAATTATATCATTTAAATTGATCAGAAACTTGATAAGGAGGTGTATATATTTTTGTTATTACTATCGATACTCAAAACCTTAATAATTAACTTTAATTTAATATATTATATGAAAGTTTTATAATTTATTTTAGATATTCATTAATGAGTGCTACTTAATGGAATGAATTATATCATTTAAATTGATCATAAATTTGATAAGAGGTGTATATATTTTTCTTACTATCCATACTCAAAACCTTAACTATTAAGTTAATGTTCACTACAACAAAAACAA